GGGGGGGAGGGGAGAGTGCGTGTGCGTGCATTTTAGTATAATTCTTTTAAGGTTTCTTTTAGTGCCAAAATTAGGGTTCCCTCATGCGCTGCTGGATCGTGAGAGCTTTATAAAGGCTGCGGGAAGAACAGGTTCTTTGTATAACAGCATAAGGTTCTGCTTGCTCTGTGTACTTACTGTACCTCACCCAGTGCTACAGAAACTGCCCCCCCAACAGCTTTCCTTCTACACCGAAATACATATTTCTGTTTTTCCTCAGGCCAAGAAGTGCCTGTATCAGTACAATGCTCTCTTGAACCTCTGCTCCCAGCAGCTTGTGGCATCTCTGACAACAGTGTCCAGTTAAGGCCTTTTAAAAAACACCAGCCAACAAAAAAAACAAACAAAAAAAGCCCAAAACAGAGCAACTCACACGTTTGCTGTGCCTCACAGTTAGCGGGCACAGCATTGCCCACTGCCAGCAGCACGGGCTCAGGAGCCCTGCAGGCTGCTGCCCACGTCTGCGCCGCGCAGCTGTACCCACATGGCACCACTGCCCTCTAGTGAAAGGCTGAAAAGAGCCTCACCACTCTTCAACCAGGCCATTTCGGAAAGCTGCACCACCACCACCACCCCCACCTACTTCTTCCCCTCACCTGCTAAATGTGACTGTACCCCCCCCCCAAAGGTGGGCATCTTGTTGAACTTGGTGGAAAGATGGTAAACGGGGTGCGAGGGCGCCAAGCTATGGCAAAGGTGGGGCAGCAACCCCACCGTTGCAGTGGGGTTAAAAGCAGTTTAAATCAACTGCTTTAAACCAGCCATCTCTGCCCTTACCCTCAGGAAAGCACAAACAAACAAAAGCTGATCGCGCAGCAGCATGAGACCTGCAAAGCCTACAGCTAAGTATTCTAGGAAAGGGCTTAGTGTCCTTAAGGTTTAGTAAAAGCTGATAAAATAGCCAGATATAGCCTCTTTAAGAGAAGCATGCGGCAAGATACCTTAGTGTTCAGGCACAGGAGTGCGTTTACCTCCGTCTGCAGTCCCTGAATTTTTTGAAATAAAGGTTTGAGGAAAAATTTTCTGTGTAGCTAAACGCTCCAAAGCCTTATCTTCCGCTCACGTCTGGCACCTGCTGTTTAAGGAATCCTTCTAACCAGCATATACAGTAAGCATAGAGACATCGCACAGAACACTACTGCAAGCCACCAAAGCCCCACTAGGCTTTCCTATTCACTCAAAAGCTAGTTGATGCAAACATCAGCAGTTCACGGAAATGTTTAACATACAGCTTCACACTCCCCATCCTATAAAGGATTTCCACTTCTTTCTGTGACCACCTAAGCAATGTAGGGCTTCTTTCCTGCCTTGTAAGTGAAATTCAGCTTCACAAATCTCTCGCGCTTGAGTTACAAGCAAGGAAACTCAAGTCCATGACTGAAGTGTAGTACTGGAAATGCACCCTTATGGATTAATTAAAAAAAAAAAGAGAAAAGAGGCTAGGCTAGGCTTCCCAACAACAAGCGAGCCTTTACATACTGCATATTACATACCACAGGCCTAACACTGTCCTCAGCGAATCATCCTCCAATACTGTTTCAAGCTCTGCTGTCACTCACAACCAGTGCTCTTGCTATGAGGAGTAACCTCATTGCATTCTGCAGTGGAGCTCTGCCTGCAAAGATACTTGATTTCAAGAGAACTGGCTAAAGAGTTTCATCTAGGAGAAAACGTCTGGTCATACCCAACTCGCTGGTAGGCTGGAATCGTCCTAATAAACACAGCTTAAACATTCACTCAAAAGGATGAAACGGTGAGATGATGTCAGCTTCCTTGTGCTGTTTTAATAGTAGCATGGTGCACCTAGTCAAGTCACCTTTTTAAGGTTAAGTATGCCAAGACTGCCACGGTCTACAAAAGATAAAAATATCAATTCAGAGAAGAGAAAGTCCCTGCTTTTGCTTTATGCAAAAAGTATTTTCTCAAAATGCACACAGCCCGTAACTTTCCAGTCATACAAATACTGTAATCTTTGCCACAGCAGCAAAGGGTTCAGATTCTTAGGCAAGACCATTCTTAAGAAATACCTGAAGCAAACAGGAGAATAAACTGCTGCAAAATACTTTCCCTTGACAAGAGTTCATGAATGTAAAGCCAGTTCTCTGTTGATCTTTGTAAGCAACAAAAGCATCCTTATTCTTCCATAAAGTCACATCACCTCAGGTTCAGTCGAGTTCAAGATTACACCATCTACTTAAAAAAAAAAAAAGAAAGTCAAATCCACTGCACTGCTATCCCCCTGACTCCACTACAGTCAGTGTCACTCGTTTATGGACTTCAGTGCTGGGAGGGGAGGCTCTATTTAGCTTGATCCCCTCCTTGGGAATTTCTTTTACAACTAAGTTTTGTGGTAATTTCCCTTCTAATCTATCTGCTGAAATAGTTGAGGTTAGTGTTGTGCTGGAGGTATGGGCTGTTGCACCACTCTCTTGTGTTTTAAAGTAGGTGATATAAAATACTGGCAGGACAATTCCTATCAGAAGCATAATAAAAACTGCATTCCACCACTGGATTCCACAGTCCGCACCATTACTGGTCTCCTGCTTCTCCGACTCGAGCAAAGGCCTCTCCAGTGCCTCTGTGCAATACTCTGCGTTTATCTGGACTTCTGCCTGTACTGCATCCTGAATACTCTTGTCAATTCCCTTAAAGTAGTCATTCAGGTATCTGCTTTCAGTACAGTTGCTGGCTGCAGCACTGTCATCAGACTCCAGTATGTCCACAAGTGTTAGGCCAGCCTGGCAGCGTGCAGTCTGGAGAGGCCTTAATTCTTGGCCATTTTCTGTTAACAGCCCGTGGGTCTTCACGGGGATCTTGATGGACTTCAACGCATACAAGTCCTGCTCCCTGATGAAGTTGTTGACGCGTTTGATATCTGCGACCTACAGAATCCAAAAAGGACAAGAGTATTAATTTAAGGCAGACAGCATCCTGAACATAAAGGCAAGCCCTGGTCAAAAGCGTCTTGGTGTTTTGCAGTCAGGGATTTCCCAGCTGTTCCAGGAATCCATAGGTCTCTCAAGTCCCCTATTAAATCAGTTTATAACCTCCTACAGTGCCTTCAATCTCTCATACGCTCTACTTCTCTTAACCTTGTTTTTCCTTGCTCTTTGCTGTCTTCATTCTTTTCCCACTTACTTTCTAAGCTGAGTTAAGGCAAGAAAAGTCTTTAGAACAGTACCTTTTTAAAACTTTTTCCATACCTTAAACATTCTGTGTTTCAGGTGAGAAGACAACCTCAGTACGAACAAACAAAACCCACAAAGCTTATAGCACAGTGTCCCCTGGAAGGTGCATTTGTCTTTTGTCCTGCTAGGAAAGTGATCTTGGAAAGGGTCGAGACAGCATGTGCCGTCTTTGGAGCACACTAATTTTGAGAGCAAGATCACAGCCTGGGATAAAGCAGGAGAGCATCCCTCCCACACAGAGGCAAGCATACTTTGTTCACGTTCCCAAGCACCATCCCTCTAATAGTTGTAAGTGGTAGAGAAAAATTAAGTGGAGCCCAGACTCACATTATGGTCTGTCTCCTCCAGTAGTGACCCTATGGCTCTGGGAATAGGTAAGCTGATGCTCTCAGTAAATGTTTATTTACTGTGCAGTGTATCGAGTGTGAAGATGGGAGCACTAATTCAAATAAGAGAATTAGACTGGTCTCAGCAAAACATTCTTTAGAATCTTTATCGGAGCAGGATCTTACAAATTGTGAACAACTTGCAACGTTTTACAAGCCGACTCTGCACCACTACTGCCTGCCTTTGAAGCTGCGGGTCAAAACCTGCCTGCTGCTTACCGTGCTCTCCCCACGGCGTGACATGCAGCCCTGCGCGGGGCACTGCTGTGCTGGCTGCTTCACGCAGGTGTGAGCCGCCTCTTACACCTATCAGAGCACAGAAGAACTCCAGACATGGGGCTGGCAGAGGAATTATAGGGCCATTTGTTGAGGGGTAGGAACCCCTCCCTGGCACAGCAGTTAAGTATAACTTTATTTTCTGAAAAGCAGGCAGCAACACTGCTGTGCACCACCTGAACAGATCTTCTGACAGCAGAACAGCGTTAGCTCTGAGATGCCTAGAGACCTCTTCCATCTCCTCAAAGGAGGAAAAAAGCCTGAAGTTTAGACAGACTGTGCTCTGGAAAACACATGCAGGTTCTAGAAACACACTTGTCCTTAATGATTTCTCCACAGTTGACAAATCTCCCTGCTAAAGACATGCTTAAGCCAATAATCCCTGCCCATCTGGGATCATCATTGGTTGTTAGTGTGTACTAACACTACTACACAGGGTCTCTATCAGTGATTGGTACTCCCACCTAGCTTGGTGCCGCAAACAAGTGATAAAAATAGCAAGAAAGAACAAAACACGCATACAGCATAGATCATAAAGGCAGCTGGCTACAAAGAAAAGACAAAGGTAAGAAAGTAGTGTCTTTTATTTAAAGAGACAGGAGACAGCTTACAATAATGTATACTGATAATCGCTGAATAAGTAAGTGTACGAGCTTCTCAGTTGTCCTAAAATCTTCTGTCAAAGGAGAACAGTACCGTCACATGCACAAGGAGTTCTCTGAGAGAATCAAGGAGACATGAAACAACCACAGGGGAAGAGCTGGAGGAAGAAAGACAGAGAAAACAGCAGGACTCCAAACCAAGGAGAAAAGCAACATTAATAGGTTAACCACCTTCTGTATACCACACAGAAAAGAGACAGTACTAAGCACTGCACTTTCAGGGGAAATTTCATTTGTTCTTTTAGAAATTCAGTAAATTATTGTATCAACTGCATTCACTGCACACTCACAAGCTTGAGGCTACAGATGAAGCTAATGAAACTATGAGGGGAATTAAAAGCAAAAAAAAAAAAAAAAGCAAATAAATACTTCCTAAACAAATCTGTATGTGCCATCAGCTACAACTTCTTTGATAGCTCAGGACAAAGAGCTGGTTTTAAAAGACGGCATGTGAACACAGCAGAAAGGAGCCCTACAGCAATTTTCAAGTAGCTACTACAGGAGCTTGAACACTTCCTTTGTCATTGACACGAACGATCAATGGTTACTCTTTACTCGATCAATGGTTACTCTTTACTCGATCAATGGTTACTCTTTACTCGATCAATGGTTACTCTTTACTCGCAGCTAGCTGACCCCAGCAGGGAGATACAACCTCTCCATCAGCACAGCGAGGTGACAAGGGAAAAACAGTCCTCCCCTGCAGCAGCTCCCACAGCACTGGGCCACAAGACCCACGATGAGCAGCAGCACCACATTCCCCTGGCTCCACAGCTGCAACTCTCGTGCATCTCCCCTTAAGTCCATACAGGCTGTCAGTGAACCATATATCAAGTCCATCTACCATGGCAATCCCCAAAAGGCAGCGAGTTCGCTATGTCACAGCGGGGAAGCAAAACACCACTGAAGGGGAGCTGAGTGCCCAAACCTCACGTTCGCTGCGCAAAGCTTGACAATCTGAAAATGAGAGGTTTAATCATGGTGGAAACATTCCAGGGACTGACATAGTGCAGTAAGCATGTTCTCCCAGATCCCACTCTGGTGCCCCCTGAAGCTAAGAGAACCCTCAGCTGCTGGATCATCAGACCCCTTACGCCTTGCCCCAGCTTAACGCCAGGAACTAAGCTCTACAAAACCATTCAGTTACGAAAGAACAATCTGACCCAAAGTCTCCTAACTGAGGTGGTGCTTCAATTTTTTGTTTTGTTTTGTTCCACTGAAAACACATTATTGGAACAGAAAATATCCCCTGCAGTGTCTACAGGCAAACACTGTAATATCGTACTAAAGCTCTAGAAACGCAAAGTGGAGAAGCACTTGGGCAAAAGCAATAAACAAAGCTGGTGGGAGGAATGCAAGAGATATAAGCCACAGCAGCTTGTGCAACCTTTTTTGTACTCGTTTTTGGCTGCAATGAGCTCCTGTTGTCCCAGCTGAGAACACTGCCAAAAAGCAGGCCAGGGTTATAAACGATCAAGAGCGACCAATGACAAATTCTCATGATTTCAAAGATAATCTCACCCTGTTTTGGGGGAGGTGGGGAGGGATGATGATGTTGTTTGTTTTTGTTTTCTTTTTTAAAAACAAGGTCACCTATACTGACAACTACAGATCTTCCGCGCTAATGTTTTGGTAGCCTTTCAGAAGCTGCTTAATTGTGCAAGTAATACAAGACATATCAAACCCAATCAGTGCCAATCTGTAAACAGACAAATACGCAAGTGTCCAACAGTAAGGATTTCTGTACGGCTCCAGTATAACAAGTCAGAATTGCCCTTTCTGGAAGGGAGGGAGGCAGGAGGTGAGTTTTTGCTGTGGGAGGAGAAAGCTGACTGCCTGGTCCCTCCCCATCAGCTTGCCTCCCCCAGTGGACAAGCCCAGCAGCCTTTGGCAGGGCCTGTTGAGATCTACCTGGGCCTGCTGGGGCTGAAGGGGTCTGGGAGAGGGGCAGCAGAGGACGCAGAGAGGAACAGTCTGGGCAGAAGCAGGACTGAATCCTCCTGACTTATGTTATCAGACAGCACAGCTGGGGTTTTTCATAACATAAATCAAAGAATTTACTCAGGATCTTCCTCCTGCATGTTCATTGAACAGTTGAGATTCAGCACAACTGCCACAGCTATGCAGTTGCTGGTGCTTGAGGATGAGCGCATAGTTACTACAAAGTCATCTGCTGTGGCTCCAAGTTCGCATGCTCTACCAGTGCCAATCAAAGCCTACTCATGCCCTGCTAAACTTGCTTTTTCCACAAGCATCAGGCTCATCAGTAGAACTTAAAAGGCTTTTTTTGGTTTGTTTTTGTTAAAGGAGTGGGAGGGGAGGAATTGTCACAATTCCTCTAAGTCCTCTTGCTTCAGCTGCACTTCACAGCTGCATTATTAAGCAAGACAAACAGATTGCACCAGTATTGTAGTTCAGCCAGGACTTCATTTTCACCATCCAGGTCACTGTCAAATGCTTTGCAACATGGAACTTTATTTAAAGGCTCTAAAACATACAGTTTTAACTGCTAAACAAGAGGGTACTTCTGATGTTCAGATCAATTAATTAAACTTTGCAACAGTGTTTCTATAGAACTCTGCTTTGGTACAAAGAAAGTGTATTCTTTTTAGCATGTTCCCTCTCCAGACAAAACTCGCCCTAGGTAGGCACCTTTTCTGCCTGCCAATGGCTGAACCACATACGTTTCTAGGTACTACAAGAAACAAAAACCCACATGCATAGATAGGACCTGGACTTGGGCATCTCTCCCTCTCTAAGTCCACCCCTTTTAGACTCAAACCTTCCCTGCCATTCGTAAGCTCATACCTTCAATTTGCTTCAAAAACTGTGTGCTTCTTGAGAGCAGGGCTCTTACCCTCACTTCTCTACTCACTTTCCTACTTTCTGCCCTCACTTAAGTAACAAGCGAGTACAAATTCTGACTGCTAACGCTGCACTTAGTCATCCGAACTAAATAGAAACCAGGTCACACAGGGCGTGGGGTTGACTACATCTTCCTAGGCTGCTACTTTAGGGGCTCTCTTGTGCCCTCCTCTAGCTCAGTTTTACCCAGATACTTATCACTCATAAAACACACTGAAAAGCGCTTGCCCTGTACTAGGCTGGTAGGCACCAGCAAGCCTTCCTGTAACGTTGGGAACCAAACTGCGCGTGAAATATCCCCGAAGTAATTAAAACTGAACAAACAAACGCAAGAATAAGAGTAACAAAAAACGACGAAAGGAGTAGCGCTACTGAGCGGAGAGGGCACTTACCTTACAACCATACTGCAGGGCCAGCTTGTTAAGACTGTCGTCCTGCGTGACCTCCCGCTCCAGCAGCACCACGTCTCCCACGTTGCCCTGGGAAGCGCCGCGCCGCCGCTGCTCTTTGCCCCTGGGTCGCAGCTCCGTGACATTCAGCTCTTCCTCCGAGGACTCCTCTGAATCGGAGCGGCCATTTTGAAACACATACACCTGGTTGCCCGGACAATTATGGACGGTGACAGGAGCCTGAAAGGATCCGGTTCGGCTCTCATGCAGCCTCATCTTTTATGGCAGCGCCTGAAACAAACAAAAAAAAACAAGAAAAAAAACAAAAAAAAGACATTTCGGGTTTTCCTTCATGTCCGTGTTTACTTGCTCGCGCGTAAAAATCTGGGAGAGCGAGCAGGAAAAAGCGCAGCAGCCGTACCACAC